GGGGACGGGACTGCTGTGTTGGGTTTTAGTACCTGTTTTAGTCCAGGCTGTTTTATATTGTCTATGTTTTTAATTGTTTTAACTTTATATTAGATTTTGTAAGCTGCCCAGAATCTGTTGGAGTGCGTGGCCCTAATTAATTCAATGAAATAAATAAATAACTTCAGGAAAGATGCCATAAGGGGAAAGGCCCATGGACAGCCCAGCATAGATTGGCAGGCTTAGCGGTAGAAAAATCTAGTGAATCGAGAAACCATGGAATATATAGCCCAGCTCTAAAACTTTTGGTTGTAGGAATTTCTTGGTGCCAACTGAAATAGTAGTAGTTCATTCACTTATTTCTTTTTGATCTTTGATTAGTGATGCATATTCATCCAATGAAAATTGTGCTTTTTATTTTCCAAATTACTGGCAGATACTACTAGGTCATCATTTTTAAGTAATTGTCACGTAAAGTTTTACCTGTCTTTGTAATCACTGTAAGCAATTTCATTGTAAGGGGTTGAAATAAAAATGCATAACCCAGACAATGATAAAGCAGCCAAGATAAAAATTATATTTAATGATGGTCCTCTTATTTTTTTTTTCTTTATCTCTGTGTTTGTATTTCAGCCATAAAAGCAATTGGCTTGCTCAGCCCTGAAGACTACACCAAAAATAGTTCATGAACTTGGGGACTGAGGTGAATTTGCATTATTCGATGGCATGCCAATGACAGAACCTAAATAGAATAATCTTAAAAAGTTTTGTTGCTTAGAATCTAACATATTACTCATGCTGTGTAACATTCCTGCTGGGATATTTCTGGCCTGAATCAATAAAGTGTTTGTTACTTTATAAATAATAAATGTTAAGAAAAAAATTGATTTCCCCATGTTTAAAAGTTGGCTTTATTTTCCCTATCACATCTTTGACATTTATTTCTATGAGATGGCCAGCTAGAATACTGTTTTCTTATACATATACAAGTTGAGCAAATGCATTTCAGAGAGTTACATGGCTGCAGTTTGTACATTGTCTTCTCTGGTTCGCTGAATTCCATAGGAATTCAAATGACAATATAGTCTCAATAATTTTGGAGCATTCTGCTTCTCCTATTTTTGACTGATTATGTGCCATCAAGTTGATGTTAACTCTTAGGGACCACATAAATAGACCTTCCGGGTAATCTGTCCCCATCTTAGCCCTTCAGTTCTTCCAGTGATGTACCCATCACCACTGTAATCAAGTCCATCCACCTTATTGCTGGTGATCCTCTTTCCTTCCACCTTTCCCAGCATTTCTTAATGGAGCTGGGTCTTCATGCAATATGTCCTAAAATGTGATCATTTGAGCCTGGTCATTTGTGCCTCGAGTGAGAGCTCCAGGTCCTGAAATTCTCCCCCTTTGCAATTATTAATAACATAGGAGACCATTCTAATTATTTCTTTTTTAAGTTCAGATTTGGGGTCATTAACAGTTTTATAGTTTTAAATGTGCTAACAATGTCGTGCTTCCCAAATCTGGTTGCTGGGGATAATGGGAGTTGTAGTCTATATCTAGAGGATGCCAGGGAATGAGGCATTGAGAAATTAACTCCTCCAAAGCTAATGGAAAATCAGATGCCCAGATATCATTAGTGATGGATGACCAAAGCCATTACCGAGAGGAAAATCTGATAAAATAATGCTCAACAGGTTACAAAATGTTGGAAGTGACTGAACTTTTTTTTTAAAGGTAGATCTATCAAGGGTTCCTACCCTTCCCACTCACTAACCCATTTACAGAGTACAACAAATATTCCAACTCATCTTAAAGCTGAGATTTTCCTCTGAACGATTTTCTCCCCCTCCCTGCTGATTCTTTTTATAAATGATCTTTTAGGCTCCGCACTAAGTACTCCTGAATATATTCCAGTTCAAAGTTATAGAATGCCAAATGTTACTAATGGGGCACTGCTTAGAGAAGATACAGGCTATGTGGGTAAGGTAAAGGACTGAGGAATTGATGAGAATTCTATAGTCCAGTATTTCAACTTAAGCAAGCCTAAGATGTGTGGACTTCAATTCCCAGAATTCCCCAGCCAGCATGGCTGGCTGGGGAATTCTGGGAATTGAAGTCCACACATCAGGACTGAGGAATTGATGAGAATTCTATAGTCCAGTATTTCAACTTAAGCAAGCCTAAGATGTGTGGACTTCAATTCCCAGAATTCCCCAGCCAGCATGGCTGGCTGGGGAATTCTGGGAGTTGAAGTCCACACATCTTAGAGTTGCTATGGTTGAGAAACACTGCTGTAGTCACTTTGGTAGCCCATCTCATTAAAGAACAGGCAGAACTCCAAGGGGATGGCAGGAAGCAGGTGGCCAAGAAAGGCTTGATTTCTTTTACTTTAAAAAATGCAAATGCACAGGAACTAAAGAACAATTGTTTGAACTTCTGCACATTGTAGACAGAAAAAATGGACTGAAAAACCAAACCAAACTTGGCTATCATTGGAGCTTTCAACTGCAGCACTATTGATTATTCTCTCCCACCCCCACTCCCAAAAAAGCTTTCCTAGCACCTCCAACTTCCCCTGGAGTTACAAGGCATGGCCTGTGTGTTCATATTCTAAACACAGTTGATATTGTACTGCTGGCCATCTGCCTTTGGAGCTGCAGTTGCATTCTGGAAAACTGCCACCTGCTTAGTGCCATACATGTGAAAGGAGCTCCAGTGTTGACCCTGCTCTTGTCTCCTGGATCACAAGCAGCAGCATCCAAAATCTTTGGCATTTTCCTCCAAGCAAAGTGCATCTTCGCTGGATTCTTTCCCTTTTTGGGCCCAGGTGGTTCCTTAGAGATCCCATTTTTTAGTTCATCAGTTAACCGATATCTGTTTAAGCAAGACAAGCAAAGAGAAGAGAAGGTTCTGTTTCTGGAAGATTTGTTTAAATGACTCCTCTTTTGATCAGTGTCTCCAGTGATCAGACAGTATCACTGGAAGTCCTTATGACTAATCAGAAAGTTGTGTCAGCTACAGTTAGCTGGGGCTGAGTCATCTTAATTATATGCCACAGGCACTGTTAATATATAGCTAAACAAAGAGGACTCTTCCACCTTGGGCAACTTGTCCTATAACCCACTTGTCTTGATAGTTAAGAAGTATGATTAACATTTCTTCTAATTCTGTCTCCCTGTGGCTTACATAATCTGTGCTTCATTAGCTTTCTCAGCAATCTATGGTTGTTTTATATTACCTTCTTTATGTGTGACAGATTATTAAAGGACCCAACACAACATCCAACTCAACTGTAATTTAAACTTACTTCTTTGTAATTTCAGAAGAAAGTGCTTCCCTCTTATTTTCAGTAGAAAGGCCAAGCAACTGTTTCCTTTTTGTTTGGAAATGTAAATAGCCATTTTGAAATCCACCCCAATAATTTTCGTGGCATTTTTAGCCATTTTCTTTAAACAGAATTGTATTCCATGATAGGCTATGGGGTACTAGAATCCAAGCATGATTCCCAGTACTTTGAACTCTTCCATAACTTTCTGAAGTTCTAATGGGCAATTTGTTCTAAGCAAGAACATGCATCTCATTAACATATCTGAAGTTATCTAAAAGTTATCCCAATTATTCTCCCACATTCTTCCTAGGAGAGAAGGATGTAAGGGAATGTTATTCCAAGGGGTCATGTGGATTAGTTGTGGTGTTTCAGGAGCTTGGATCTACAGTAATAATTTTGCCATTTCTTTAGCATCCAATATAAGAGCCATGCTGGATGAAATCAAAGTACTGCATGGTGGTGATGACTGCTTTCCTCCCAGGGTGGTCAATCAGAAGTTTATGTGGAGCCCATTAGTGCAACAGCATCTTCCAAAATACATTCCTAACAATATCGCCTATGATATTGGAGATAATATATAGCTAGTGTGATTAATACTGTAATTTTATCTTCCATGCATTTCTCTAATTCCTTTTGAAAGACATGCAAGTTGGGGGCCATCACTATATCATCTGGTAGTGAATGATTTGGGGTTTTGTTTTGTTCTCTCATAAATCTGTCCTATTAGTTTCATGGATGACTCCACTTTCCCATGTTACAGGAGAGAGAAATGCTTCTCTCAAAACATTTTTTCCATGCCATGCATAATTTTATATACCAGTAGAAAAGAATATATATAGCTTAGGGTTGAACTGTGAAGTTCTTGGTGGTCTTTGAGCATGGTTGTTTGCTTGCAGATGTTTCATTACTCAACTAGGTAACATCATCTGTGCATCTACAAGCAAACAACCAAGCTCAGAGAGCACCAAGAACTTCAAAATTGTATACAGGTAGTTCCCAGTTTAAGAAAGAGTTCCATTCTGAAGGTCTGACCTTAAGTCAAATTTGTATGTAAGCCAGAACAATATTATTGTATAATGTATAAGTAGTATTGTGTAATGAACTCAAACCATTGTATATTTAACTCGAATTTTGCTACAGTAGGCTCTGTTCTTAACTATGGGTCATCCTTCAACCTGATGTTTTTAACCCAGGGACTACCTGTATACCGCTACTGTGTCTCTTCCCTATGTACCCTTTTTTCTCAGGTTAAAAAAGAAAAGTGTTTATGAATTTCCTTTATGGGGGAGTTGCTTCAGAATAATGTTAATTTGGTGAATCCTTTTGTGCATTTTGAAGCTTTCCTTTTTGACATGTTCTGTGATTAGAATTTAAACATTATTTCAGGTTGACTTATATTATAGACACAAATAAAAGTTCTGTTGTACTGATGGCTTTCATTTTCATTTTTAATCCCAAAAACAGAATTCAGTTTCGTTTGGGGTTTTTTGCATCCTTTGTTCTTTATCAACATTTTAGACCAGCTATCCACTAATACTGTTTTTGAATCATGTGTTGAGACGTGTCCCCCTATTCCTATCCCATTGTATGTTGTATCTATGGAATCTTTTTTCTTTTTATGTCAGGTTAACATGACTTTTTCTCCCTGAGTTTGTGGTGGTGGTTTGTCTCTTCATAGAACAGCTCATTAACAGCTCATTAACAAGGAAATATCCTTAGCCCAGCCTTTTATTTTAATTTAGTGTTTCTGGCTGATATCTGTGCATCTCTTCAGTATGTGCAATATTGTAATCAGTAAGGTTATCAGAATAAATAGAATATAGTTGTTTTCTGCATGGGATATATTATTTCTCTTAATTCACTACAAATGTGGCTGTTGTTGCTGCGACAGTTGTATACTCGTGACTCATAGTCTGTTTATTACTCACTGGATGATTTGGATCTGTCCTGAATAATTTGTTAGTAATCATCTTCAGAATATGGGCTTGAATTGAAAAATAAATAAATTGCATGCCAGAGTAAGAGCTTTTTTGAGCTATTTGTCTTCATTTTCTCTATGACAGTATTTAAAAATGTCTTAATAAAGATATGCTGCCTCTCTGAAGTCCTAAAAGCAATCAAGCAGTAAAAGGAACTAATTTTATTCAGCATGATCTCTCCTGGCTATTATATAGCTCCTGATAGTTCAGTGGTCAAGTACATGCTTTGCATAGAGATGGCCTGAAATTCAGTTTCTGTTCTAGGAGAGCAAATGGACTTACGTAGAAGTTATGCCATTTCTTCCCAGATGAGTTTAGTTCAGGCAGCATAGGAAGCCCAGGTGGGGTTCTGCATCCCCACTCTCTTCAGCTGTTGTCCCCCCTCCCCCCCTCCCGGTATATTTGTGCGTGCAAAGCTTTGGAGCAGTTTTACATGCACAAGGTTGTATGTGAGCAATTGTCTCTATATGGTTGTCTTTTTGAGTTCCAAATTACATGAAGGCTCTTATTTGCATTCAAGAATATTCTGTTGCTACATGTAGGACATACTGTATAGCTTCTCATAGAAGAGAATATATGTAGCTCAGGGTTGAACTGTGGAGTCCTTGGTGTCCTTGAGCTCAGAGAACACGAAGGATTCCATATAGCTTCTCCTAATTCAGCACTGTGGAGAACTTCTAGTTACACAAGTACCACACAGTCTCAAAACCCCCAAAATCTTCGTTCTAATCTCTTCAGTGATATCCCCATCAATCCTTCTACAGCCCTTAGAGACACCCCCACCCCCTAAAAAAACCCCCACAAATAACAAGACACATAAAAAGTGTGTTCCTGCCTACAAAAAGATTCCCCATCCCTGTCCCATTTTACTTGATGGTCAGAGAACAATGTAAATAAACTAAATAGAAGCCTGTTCTTTTGATGCCTTTAGACATGACTACACTGCAAGGCAAATGCATTTACTTTTTCAAGGATTGTTAGTTTGTGGCCTAAGCTCCCTCTTGGAATTGACTTGTTTGCTACCTTAGCTCAATACCGTGTCTTATATCCAGTTAATCTAACTGGGATAATTCCAGGAAAACTGCACTCTTTGGTAT